TTTCCGGTCCTTTTTTTTTTTTTTTTTTTTTTTTTGAGGGGCAGGGGCTCCCTATGCAGTTCAGGCTGGCCGTGAACTATGTAGTTACGCCTGGCCCGGAACTCATGGCGATCCTCCTGCCTTAGCCTCCCGAGTGCTGGGAGGGTGGAAATCAGGAAACCAGGAAAGGGTAGGGTAGGGGAGGCCATCTGTTTAATCCATTTGCTGCCATTGTGCCTTTTTTCAAACTTACGAAAATGATTTAATTGTCACTTTGGCTGTTTTGTAAAACCTCTAAAACCATGATGTCCAGTTTGGTAACCTCTAGCCACATGTGGCTCTTTATGTTTAAATTAGTTTAAAAATGCAGCAAAATAAAATAGTTCCATAGTCAGATTAGTCCCACTTTAAGCAGTCAGTGGGCACAAGTGGCTCCTGAGTGGACAACCAAGATAATGGGTTTTTAAAAATATTTGTTTTAGGGGCTGGGGATATAGCTCAGTGGCATAAGCACCTGCCTCGCAAGTGCAAGGTCCTGAGTTTGATTCCCAGTACCAAAAAAAAAATTGTTTTTTGGTTGTTTGAGGCAGTCTTGCATTTATGGTAGTTCAGGCTGCCCTTGGACTCATAGTGATCCTCCTGCCTCAGCCTCCTGAGTGCTGGAGCACAAGGTTCCAAGACAGTGTTTTCTTCATTGCAAAAGGTTCCTTTAGGCAGTGCTGTTGTAGAAAACGGCTGGGTTGGGGGCGACTGTGGAATCATCACAGGTGTTTTGGGAGGATGGTGTTACACTTTGGCGTTTCCTAATTCCTGTTCTCGTGGCAAGTCAAGGGTAGGTTTGATTTGTCTCTCCATCTTTTTGTATTGTGCTTCCTTCTGTCTCCCAATCCCCCTCGCTGCCTTTCTCCACCTCCCTTCTCTCTCTCCCCCTCCCCTCCCTTCCCTTCTCTCTCCCCCTCCCCTCCAGTCTCTCCCCTCCCCTCCCTTCCTCCCCCCTCCCCCCTTTCCCCTCCATGTTGCTCCCCTCTTCCTTCTCTACCCTTCTCTCCCTCTATTCACTCTCACTGTCTCTTTCCCTTCAATCTCTACCTCTCTCCCTCTCTCCCTCTAGACCCTCCCTTTCCCCTCTCCCATTCCCTCTCCCCACTCTTTCGCTCCTTCACACCCCTCCCATTTCCCTCTCCCCTCTCCCACTCCCTCTCCCCCTCCCCTCTCTCACTCCCTCTGTACCACTCCATCGCCTTCCCTCTCCCCTCCACCTCCCCTCCCTCGCTCTTCCTCTCCTATTCTCTCCCCTTCTCTCCCTCTCCCCTTCTCTCTCTCCCTCCTCCCTCCTCACTCTGCTCTCACCCTGCCCCTCTGCCCCTGTGCCCCTCTTGCCCTCCACTCCTCCTGCCCCCCTCTCCTTCTTTTTCCCTTTCCCTCCTCTTCCCTCTTCCCCTCCCCTTGTCTGCCCTCTTGCTCCTCTTAGCTCCCCCTGCCCCCATAATCTATCTCTTCTTGTCCTCTCTCCCTCTTTTCCTCTCCCATTCCCTTCCCTCACCATCTCCCCTCTTTCCCCCTCTCCTCTGTCTCTCTGATGCATTCTCTCTACCCCTCACTTGCTCTGCCCTCCCACTCTCCCCTTCCTCTCTCCACTCCCTCTCTCTCCCTTCCTCTGTCCCCCTCCCTCTTACCCCCTCCCTCTCTCCGTGCACCCTTTCTCCCTGTATTCTCCTCTCCCCTTCTCCTCATCCCCCCTTTCCCCCTCCCATTCATCTCCTACTTTCTCTCTCTCCCTTTACCCCTCCCTCTATGCTCCTCCCTCTCTCCTTGCACCTCACCCCATCCCCTCCCCCAATCTCTCCTCCTCGCTCCCCTCCTCCCCATCCCGCTCTCCCTCTCCCTTTCTTCTCCCCTCCCCTCTCCTCTTGTCTTCCCCTCTCCTTTCCCCTACCTTCATCTTGCCTCCTCCCCCTCTGTCCTCCCTGCCCCTTCTGTCCCCACTGCCCCCACCTCCCCTTTTCCTCCTTCTCCCCCTTTTCTCTTCTCTCCTCTCTTACCTCCATCCTTCCCTCTTTCCTTTCTTCTTCTCTGCCTGAACTCCCTCTCTACTCCTTGCTCACCCTCTCTCCCTTCTCCAACCTCTCCCTCTCTCTTCTCTCTCCTTATCTCTCTCCCTTTCTCATGCCTCCCCTTCCCCCGCCCTGCTCCTCTCTTCCCCTTCTCCTTTTCCTCCTCTCTCCCTCTTCTCTTTCCCCTCCCCTCCTCTTTCCCTCCCCTTATCCTCCCACCCTCTCTCCCCTGCCTCCCTCTCCCCTGCCCCCTTTCCCCGTGCACCTCTCCCCATGCTCCCTCTCCCCTGGCCCCCTCTCCCCTTCCCCGTTTCTCCCTCTTCCCCTTCCCCCCTCCCCCCTCCCCTCTCTCTTCCCCCTGTCCCTCTCCTCTCTCCTCCTCCCTCTCTCCTCCTCCCTCTCTCCTCCCTCACCCTCTCCCTCTCCTCTGCCCCCTACCCCTTTCTCACCCCTCTTCCTCTCCTCTTTGCTGCCTCACTGTGCCTCTCTTCTTCCTCTCCCTCTCCCCCTCCTGCTTCCTCTCTCCCCCTCCTCTTCCTGCCCTCTCTCCTCCTGACCCCACTTCCTTTGTCCCCACTCCCCCTTCCCCCATCTCCCCCTTTCCTCTCCTCCTCCCTCTCTTCTCCCTTTCTCCCCTTCCCCCTTTCCCTGCTTCTCCTCCTCGTCTTTTCCTTTCTCCCCTCTGCCTCCTCTCTATCTATCCCTCCTCCTTGCTCTCCCCCTTCCCCTTCTCCCCCTGCCCCCTCTCTCCTCCTTTACCCCTTCTCCCCTACCTCTCCCCTTCCCCTTTCCTCCCCCTCTTCTTCCTTCCTCTCTGCCCATCTTCCTCTTTCCCCTCCCATCCCTCTCTTCTCTGACTCTCCCTCCCATTCCCCTCTCTTCTTTCTCTCCCCCTGTGCCCTCCCTCTCCCTGCCCCTTTTTTCTCCTCCCTCCCCTTCCATCTCCCCTATCTCCCCCTCCTCTCCTCCCCCTTCCTCTCCCTCTCCTTCCCTCCTCCCTCTCTTCTTCCCCCTCCCTCTCCCCTCCTCTCTCTCCTCCCTCCTCCTCCCTCCCTTCCCCTTCTCTCTTCCTCCCCACTCCCTCTCCTCCTCTATCTCACCCTCTCCCTCTCCCCTCCCCCAGCTTTCGTCCATCTCTTTTTTCTCCCCTCCCCCCTTTTATCCCCTTCTCCCCTTTCACCCCCTCTCCCACCTTTCAACCCCTCTCCCCCTCCTCTTCTTTCCCCCTTCTCCCTCATCTCTGTCCATCTCTCCTTCTCTCCCCTCTCTCCCCCTCACTCTTCTTTCCTCTCCTTCCCTCCTCCTCTCTCTCCCCTCTGTCTCCCTGCCCCCCTCTCCTCCTTTTCCTCCCTCCCCTCTCTCACCCCTCCCCTTTCCTCCCCTTCTTCCTCCTGCCTCTGTCCCTTCTCCCTTGTCTCCTTCTCCTTCTCTCTTTTTTTTAAATAAGCAGAGAAAGAGGAGTTGAAGGGAATGTAGGAGAATGGGGGAAAAAAATAGAATCCAGTTCTATCATGTAAAGATACAAATTCCCTACAATGAATATGATCATTATATATACCTAAAATATACCCATTAACTGAATTTTTAAAAAAAAATTCTGAAGGCTAAGAAGTACAAGATTAAGATACTGGCAGGTTCAGTGTCTACTTCCTACCTCATAGATTGGGCCTTCTTGCTGTGTCCTCACATTGGTTGTTCTCTGGGGCCTCCTTTATAGGGACTTTAATATGATTCATGTGAGATCCATTAACATGTCTTTACCCCATCCCAACGGCACCATCTCCAAATACTATCACATTGGGGGTTGGATTCCAACACACAAATTTTGATTTTTTTTTTTTTTTTTGGTGGTACCGGGAATTGAACTCATGATCTCATGCTTCCAAGGCAAACGCTGTGCCACTGATCTATATCCCCAGCCCTAACACACAAATTTTGAGAAGACAGGAACTTTCAGTCTACAGCTGCACACACAAGCACATATGTACACAGAAGTGATAGATACAAAAATGAGGACTGAGGTTTTCTCTGGTCAGGAGGAAGGAGATGTGATTAGGGATGGCAAGTGAGGCTCCAGCAATGCAGGTAATACTCTGTGACTGGCTTATATGGTAGATGTATAGGTTTGCATTTCATTATATATTATATATTATACTTCATAAATTGATCTGTATACTTCATAAACATACCTTTGTCTATATAATGCATATCAGAAGAATAACATTAAAAATAAATCCTTCAGCAATTTCTAAGTGACACTACATTCCCAACGCTTCAAAAAGTGAGGAACATTTTTGTTTTTAAAATTCTTGCCGCTTTTCTTCCACAGTTCATGGAAGCTAATCTTAATGAAGTCATTCTCCCCATCCTCCCCTTGTTCATTTCAGATGTTGCCATTGTGGACCTGAGTGATATCTCCATGCAGCCTTCTCTTTTCTACCATTTTGGAGTCCGTGAAAGCTTTCACGTGCGCAATAATGTGATCCTGTACCATCACACCAGTGCTGATACTGCATTGTCATTGAAGGTAAAGCGCTTTCTCTGAATATTTTATTTTCCCAAGTATTTTCCCTAAATGTTTTGGAAAAGCATAATTATATGACAAGCTGAAGTATAACCATAGCACAAGAGGTTGGGGAAAAAAGTAATGAATTGCTTGTGTGATTCTGTCCTTCCCACCACAAGTTGTAGCTCACACAATTGACTTTTGGCTGCTGTGTGAGCATCCTTGCGAAGTGGAGCTTTTGCTGGCAACCTGACCACTTCCAAGCTCATTAGGGAAGTGAAGGCAGAAACTAGCAGTTTCCATTGACAGAAACACACCATTCTGAATCCCTTCATGGGCAATTTGATCCAAACCTACACATTATAAAAATCAGTTCTTGACTTGGATGACATGAAGACATTTAACAGCTATCAAGATAATGAGATAATTTTAGTTTAGACATAATCAATATTTATTTATTTATTTATTTATTTATTTTGTCTTCTTGAAACAAGGTCTTGCTATGTGGTTTAGGCTGGCCTTGAGCCCACTTTGTAGCCCAGGCTGGTCTCAAACTCGCAAGGATCTCAACGATCCTCATACCTCAGCCTCCCGAGTGCTGGGATTACAGGCGTGCACCACCACACCTGGCTGACATAATCAATATTTAATTTATTTTCCTCCAGTATGAAAGCAAGGGAAACCTGAAAGCTTGTATGTTCCTATGCCAAAATTATTGAGAATTTCTAAAATGTATTTTTGCCAGTTTAATACAAGTATTTTTGATAGCATAGTACTTTAAGAATACTTATATTTATAAAATGTAAATAATTAACATGAGTTATTCCAAAATTTAGCTAATATTAACATTGTTCAGTACCTTCTAATTTTATGTTTCTCATCAAAAATAATTCATTGGAGATTTAGAAGCACCATTTTCAGGTTAATCAGTTTGTTTACAGCAGTGCTTCTCAACCTTGATGGCACTTTATAATCACCCAGAGAATCAGGTCACACCCAGACCAGTTATGTCTTAATTTTAGGGGCCCAAGTGTGAAGCTGTTTTATTTTTTACCTCCTAAATGTACAGCCAGGGTTGAGGACTAGTGGTTTACAGAATGTAATTTCACAAGCATTTCTAAATGTCTAACTTCCTCAGTACTAAAATTTATTAGTTATACAGTAGTACAGTTTTATGTCAAAGTTGAACACTTTTGTTTGTTTCTTGAGACTTGATATGAACCAGATTTCTCTGGGTTCTGTAATGATTTGAGACTATTTGAGGAAAATATCACCTGCTTCAGTGTGATCTGTGTATTATAACTCACATATACTGTACATAGATGTCTACCCTGTAATTATAGCACAATATTGTATTTTAAGAAGTAATTCATATGGCAGTGAGAAAGGAACTTTTAAAGTATACTTACAATTATAAAATAGATATTTTTAGAGTCAATATTTAGTTATTGACTTTTACTGATTTTCACTGAAGAAGTTGTGCTTGGAAATACTTATAATTTAGAAAACATGAAATTACAGATTATTTTTGATGAGAAACATGAAATTAGAATTTTTCCCCCAATGCAGTACATTTATTTTCTCTCTGTAGCTTAGCAAACCCTCTGGAAATTCCTGTACCTACATAAGTTTTAATTTTGAATGATATAGACAAATACATCCTAAAATGGAAATGAGTAGTCATTTATATCTAACACTAGATGAGTCAGTCTGAATGTGTTATGAGAAAATAAACATCCTTCAGTATATCAAACACATTTTATAAGGCAGCTATTTAATTGCTTGTTTTTTGCAGAAATGTTGGTTTTCAATATACAGATGGTATAGTGAAGGGCTGCATAACCATCATGCTAAGTTAACTAACAAAATTATTGTCGGTGAAGCCAGATGTGGTGGAACACACCTGTTATAGTAGCACTTGGGAGGCTGGGGCAGGTCACCACTAGCTCAAGGCTGGCCTGGGCTATATAATGAGTTCAAGGCCAATATGAACTACAGAAAGAGACCATATTTCAAACAAAGAAAAAAGTTGTCATTGAACTTGAACATGCTTAGACAGCTCTAGTCGGGTGACAGGAATACTTTAGCAACACCTTTGTAGGAAGGCTGACTCTGTGACCTACAGTCTTTGCATTAATCAAATCAAGAAGGCTTCTAGCTTCCTGGATAACACAGTGCTTCCCAGGTGCTTTGTTCTTGTTGCTGACAATCGATTGTCAGCCATCTTGGAAGGTGAGATGGAGAGCATGCAGTGCCATGAAGTTGAATCTCAAATTAGCTCTTGGGCAAAGGCATTGCCATTGCCCTGGGAAAATCCTTTTGAAGCAAAAATGCACCCCCGATTTGTTTAAAGCTGATCAGTCATGAGTAGTCTTTCTTGGAATATGAATTTTACAATTCTTAGAAGTTCATTTATTTGAAGCTTTTGGTGAGAATGGTTCAAATGATTACTTCTTACTCAAAAGTAAGTACTGGTTTACTGGAAAGGAATGTTAGTTAATGCTTCTGGAAATTAACTGTTTAGAAAGCTATAGTCATCTTTTCTTTTTCTTTTCAGGGTATGGTAACCCATAAAAACACAGTAAGTATTACATTCTCGTGCTTTTACCCTCATAAATGTAAATTAGTTAAATGCTTGCTTGAAAATCACTGAGGGAGCAAGTGATTTCTAATTCTGCCTTTTGGCTGCATTTTTAAGGAGAATAGCTAGAAACCCCCTCCCCATTCCTCCATCAACCAGGTTAGACCGACCCCACTCAACCACTGAGAGTGTGGGGTAGGAGGGAAGGGCAGGCAAATACATGTTCTTCATTATTCCTTAGGGCTTTGAGCTTAGAACCATTTGGCTCTCTCCTAAGCTGGGTTTGTGTTCCTCTGGACCACCAAAAGTCTTTGATAAAGCCAGTACTGCCCGTACTTAGCCACCAAAGTTTCCCTGATGATAGGAACATGAACTTGTACCCCAGTTAATACAAGCACCAAACCTAAAGTTCTTTTCCACAAGCTGAAAAGAAATGTAATGGAATTCCTCTTCATTCTATTCCTTATGTACTGAAGTCTCTGCATTTGGCTTAAAAATTCCTTCAACTGAATAGTTTTATCACCATGCTGATTTTGATAGTATAATGAAACTAACCCAAAAATGTTTAAATGAATTATGTCACCAGAAATTATGCCAAAATTATCCTGTACCTTTATACTCCAAACTGCTTCCCTCAAGACCTATTGCAGTGATGGTGAACCTTTTAGAGATGAGTGTCCAAACTGCAATCCAAAACCCATTTATTTATTGCAAAGTGCCAACATTGCAATTAAATCTGAATACTGAGGTTTTAATTTAGAAAAACTCATACATTAACATCTTCTGTCTAAAATGAAAAGCAACACACGTTCCATAGGTTCACCACCACTGACATATAGCATTATGATGTGAGAAACTGCAACCTAGACTAAGACAGGTCCTTGCTTCCTATCTTTTGGGCTTCAGCTTCCTTCCTACTGGCCCTTTCAAGAGGACCTTTTCCTACGCAGTTGGAATTTCTAGAGGGACAGGGGTAGAAGGGCCTAAGAGTGAAACTCTCCAGGGAACCCTCTCCAGAAGAGCAGGAGCTTTATGTGGCTTTATCCCTTCACAAAAATCCTACCCTGTAGCTATAAGGCCCAGGCTTTCCCAGTACCCCCACAAAGCTTCTCACCTGAGATGGAAGCCTTGGCCTTCTTCTCCTGCCAGAGGATGAAATTTAAGAAGCAAAGCAAGCAGTGTAGGTCATGCAGTTACCACTGGAGCGTGGATTTGCAAACTGGTTCAAAAAATAAGGCATGAGGATTCTTTTGTGTGTGATTTCATTTTATTCCATTGATGTACTAACATCCACTTAGTAGCGGGGGGGTATTTCCTGTTCTTTCCAGATTTTATTTTTTTTACATTGCCTCTTTCATGGAAAAGTGGGGGAGCAATTGAAGGATATTAGGCCTAAGGCCCAGAAGGTGCACTTGTAGTTGCATTTTTTGTGTCTTAGTCACATTAGATAGTTGATTGACCTTTTCTGAGTCACATCAGTAAAATGAGGAATATGGAACCCTATCTCTTTGTTTATGGATACCTTGTAGCATTCAACAGTTGTAGTTCCATATTTTTTTGCACAAATGAGAGATTGTACTTTGGATATACTGCAAGGATTGTCTATGAAACACTTGTTCCTTGAAATAGCAAGAGCTACATTAATGCGAGAAGCAAGGAAGGCAACTTTATCTTTTTCCATTCCTATTGGGTGCACTTGCAATTAAAAATATTTTTGTCTTTATAATTAATGCTAAGTAGTGCTATAATTCTAGTATTAAAACACTATGTAATCAATTCTGTTATAATTCCACATGTATTCTCCTTCTAGTATACTTTTTCCTCCCAAGCACCCAGGAATTCCTTCAGCATTCATAGTAATTCTAAGCATACTTTGGCACCATTTTTCTAAGTGTTTTGTTTGTTAGGAATGAATTTGTTCTACAGGATTTGGCAACTAACATCTCCATCGTAGTTGAGATTACATTAGAATTCCGTGCCCAGTATTGGTTACCATGCTTGGCAAGGTGTGAAATATTAGAGTATCCAGAAAAATCTTTAAAAGTACCTGAGTTGACTTGGAGAATAGATAATAAGAAAGAAGAAAGGCTAAAGGGAAGTAAACATTGGGAGGTAATATTAATGGTCATTCTCTAATGTTATTCTCTTTCTAAAGTAAGGAGACTGGTACTTTTCCCTCTCCAGATGGACAGAAGTAGGGCAAACAGAAGAACACTTTGGATCAGCAGAATGGACAGCTTGCTGCTAATGGTGATTAAACATTAAAACAGAATGTCAAAGTAAATTGGAGTAAGGAGAGTTTGCTCAGTAGTCCTTTGCATTTAGATTGGGGTAATACCAGAATAGGAAGTCTGGATCTTAGAACCCCAAAACTTCTGAGAGAGGATCAGATGGAATTGTGGGTTTGTGATCATTTTTGAAAGATTAAAAATGCACACAATGTAGTCATAGCTAGTGAATTCCAAAGTCCTCTAAATCAAGGATTCAGATAAAACGCAACACCCTGAACATGTAGGCAGATGTTTGAAGTGATTTAAGAATATATGAAAATCAAGATGTTTTGAGATATATCTTCTGGAAATCATTAGCTGGTTCTAGAATTGTACCTGATATATTGAATTCAGTTTCATTTGACAGAGGCATGAGCACATTTGTTTTCATTTCTAGGAGGGATGGCAATGATGTAAAGGACGTTCTCTGGGCTTGAAGCTAGAATGTGCATAGCCATTCTGGGCTCTTTTGCTGTTTGGAAAGAAGGCATCACCTTTTGTGCTCATGTTTCTTCAGATGATGTTCATTTCTCATGTTCCATGTTTTGTTTTTTAAAAACACTTTACTTAGGTATAACATACATATTATAAAATTCACCCATTTTTTAAGCTCACACAGTCATCGTGGCCCAGTTTTGGAGCATTTCCTGCATCCACCAAAATGCCCATTTGTGGACAGCCCCTGTTCCCACCCCTAGCAGCAAGCAACTACTAATCTGTTTTATACCTTACAGGTTTTCCTTTTCAGATGAATGGAGCCATAAAATATGTGGTATTTTGCTGATTTGTTTCACATAGCATGATGTCTGATTTGTTTCACTCAGCATTATGTCTTTGAAGTTCATCCATGATGTAATATATACCAGTAGTTTGATCCTTGTAATTGTTAAATAGCATTCTACTGTATAGATATTCCACATTTTATTTATCTGTTCCCAGTAATTGATGTTTGGGCTGTTTCCACTTCAGGGCTACTGTGGTTAACAGTACTATGAATATTTAAGGACAAGTTTTCACATAAATGTGTTTTCATTCCTCTGGACTAGATATCTAGGAATGGACTTGCTGGATCATATGTTAAGTTTATGCTTAATTTCCTAAGAAACTGCCAAAATGATTCCAACATGGTTGTACCATTGTATATTTCCACAAGCACTGAGGGACCCAGTTTCTTCACATCTTCACCAGTGCTTGGTATTAGCTTTTCATTATACCTGTATTAGTTACTTTTCTTATTGCTGAGACAAGTACTTGACACCCAGAGTTAAAGGAGGAAAGGTTTTTTTGTAGCCCACAGTTGATTGAGGTTTCAGTATATAGTTGGCTGCTTCTGAGGCAGGTCGGTGTGGCAGAGGGGCATCACAGAAGAGAAACAGTTCATGGCAAAGCAGGGCAGGCAGAAGGCAGCTAGCAGCAAAGTAGCAAGCAGCAGGTGACAACAGCAGCCCTCTTTCTGTCCCTTATATTTTATCTAGCACTCACACCTAGGGTGGATCACCCTTAATCCTAGCATCACACCATTAATCCCATCATCATACCACCCTAGATCCAGCCACCTCTGAAAAGCCCTACCTATGACCACGTGAGGTTTTGGGGGGACATCCAGATACAAGCCATAATAATAGCCATTTTAGTGAGTGTGAAGTGATATCTCAGTGTGGTTTTAATTTGCTTCTTCTTAGTGATATTCAGTGTCTTTTTATGTTATTAGCCATTTATAATCTTATTTGGTGAGATGTCTATTGAAATCTTTTCCTCAATTTTAATTGGGCTGTGTACTAGTTGTGAAATTGTACAAGTTCTTTATTCTGGAAGAAAGGCCCTTATCAGTGGTTTTATTGGTTATTTCTGATACAGGTAATACTTTTAAGGTTGTGTCTCAGAACACTTAGCCCTACTCAGTGTCAGGAAGTATTACTGCTATGTTTTTCCAAAAAATATTTATAGCTTTAGCTCTTACATTTAGGTTTCTGATCCATTTTCAGTTATGTTTCATATGTGGTGTGAGGTAGGTATTTAAGATTGTTCTTTTTTATGCGAACATCCAGTTATCCTAGCACCTTTTGTCTGGCAAGACTATTTTTTCCTCCATTAAATTATCTTGGCATTCTTGTTGAAATAAACTGAGCATATATATAAAGGTTTATTTTTGGACTTTCAGTTGTAGTCCATTGATCTATATGTCTGTCCTTATGTAAGTGCCATACTGTTTTGATTACTATAGTGCTGTATCAATTTTTGGAATTGGGAAGTCTGAGTTACCCAATTTTGTTATTTTTCAACATTGTTTTGAGTAATTCTAGTTCCATGTGAATTTGAGGATTGACTTTCCCATTTCTGCAAAATAAGTTGACAGGGCTCACATTGTGTCTGTGGATTGCTTATTGACATCTTAACCTTATTAACTCTTCCCATGCACAAACATGGGCTGTCTTTCCATTTATTGAGGTCTCTCTTAATTTCTGTCAAAATGTTTTGCAAATTTTAGTATATAAATCTTTCACTTGAATTCAAACTTGCTCTTGGATATTTTATTATTTTAGGTGGTCTTGTAGATGGAACTATTTTCTTAATTTCCTTTTAAGGATTTTTAAAAGTACCTTTCATAACATATTTTTAACATTTATCATATTTCAGTTCATAATTCTATATTTGATTCTGTTAAAAACAATTCAGTTTTTGATCAGAATTTTCCAATTGTCTTAGCTACTTTTTCATTGCTGAGACAAA